CTGAAGGTTTTGAGATCCAAATGCAGTCTGAAGTACATCAGACTCACAGACACTCAGCAGTAGCAGCCTGGTCCTCTGGCCTGTAGCTGAAGAGCTCTTCACGTCTCCAGCAGCGGCTCTGTGCAGCAAGCACCCAGGACCAAGCCCTACAGCTAGCACGCGTTAAGTCGGGATTTCTTTCACGTCAGTGCCGAGAGGTGCTAGTGGCATTCCAACCACAAGTGGATTAAGGACATCCAACATTACCAAGGAAAGAGCAAGCCTAACACACTTTTTTTAACTAGGCTTGTAATTATTTTTAAACCAACCATACGATGGTGTGTTTCTATTTTCATAGCCTGTAATATTATGTCAAAGAAGAACGACAGATCTATTGTGAGTAGCATATATAAGTAATATTTTCTAACAAAGTGATGGAAGTAATATTAATATATGTAACAGTTTTAAGAAGTAGAAGAAAACATGTAAAATTACAAACAAAACCCCTGCTCAAATATTTATCTTGCTTGTGATTACCATTAATGCTGTATGTCTTTTCAAACAAGCTATAATACTGTGATGATGCTGTAAACTTACTTCTGTAGGCAAAAAATGTTCTGTTTAAAAATGTCAAGATGAAGGATGTAAATGTTCTTAAAGTGCCATCAACTAAAAATATGAATTTTCACAGAATATTCTGAAGGATTCTGTTACATGCTACAGATATATTTTACAAGAGTATTTATGGATCATACACACTAGTCTATGTGAGAACAAACGGTACTATTTTATTACAAAATAAATAAATGAATAAATAAGCAGTGAATATCCATGCCCAGAAGCTGGAAAATGTGTTTTTTTAAAGGTACCCTGATCAATTCTTTAGGTAATTTGAAAGAGAGAGGACCTAGTACCTTACTGACAGAAGGTACATGCTCCCCCTCCTTTCCCAGCCAGCCCCCATACAGATCACACTGCTGTCAGTGCAAAGATCCTCAGAATTAGTTGTGGAGGAAAAAGGAACAGTTAGCTAGATGCATAAACACAATGCAGATGTAGTACTTGGAAGATTAATATATGTATTCACCAAATTAAACCCCATATTTTAAGCACAGTGGCGTTTAGAACACCAGCTCTGTTGTAGGCTCTAACAATTTGCACAAAGTGTCTGGGTTAGCTCTTACTGAGTGGAGTCAAAGAGTCATTCTCTCAAAATCACACTGAATGGTAATAAAATTATAAATTGAAGAATGCAAAGATATTCCAAAATGCTTGAAAAATACATAGCTGGAAGCAGTCCAGCTCCTGCTGGACTATGTATGTATGACTGGGAATAACTGTACTGAATGCTACAACTCGGGTTTTTACTGAAGAAGAATTTGGGTGCTGACGGCTAACCATTTCACAGGGAACATGATCCCTTCCAGAACCAAAAGCCTGTCCTCAGTGACAACAGTTTAATGTTTTTCTCAAGCTTCCAAGAAGAATAAATGGGTTCAGCTCCTCTTCTTGGAAGCTGACCAAACTGGATATGGTAAAAAACCAAAAACTCACCCTTGCCATGCAACAAGACCACGACTGGGAGAAGGATTTATGAGAAGGTCCCAAGGGGGGCTGAAGCACTTCAGTTCTTAGTATCGCTTCAGAGAAAAGATTCAAGATTAATGTAACGACTGCTTGACCAGTGGGGCTGGGTCCCACCTGTCTCCAGGTGACCCTGCTCGAGCAGGGGGTTGGAAAGATGATCCCCAGGGGTCCCTTCCAACCTCCATCATTCTGTGGCAACATATTTCACAAGGAGATCAGTAAATGTGTTTATCCTTGTTCCCAGTTCCCATCCAGGCAAGTTAATTGCACTAAAACTTCATTCCCGCTCAAACACGATCCAGTAGCCCACTGTGAATGAGGTGGAAGCTTACCCTGGAGGAGAAACAAATAGAAAGTTCCATGGCCCAACAGACGGTTATAAACAGGGTAAGGAATGGCTGAGCCTGGAAGCCAGGTTAATTCTTTTATAGAGAAAGCTAGGGCCAATGAAAGTGGAAATCACATCGCTGCAGCCCACAGGAAACTGATTTTAATGGTAATTTGAGGAATATAAGTTTATCCGAAGGGTGAATATAAAGTGTAACATCACAAAACCAGTTATCAGCATACACATAAAACAATATGCATAGAAAAGTCCCTTCTGTATTTGTACAAAGTTCAGAGCAATAAGCTCTACTGCATCACAAATCATTCAGAAGATTAAATAATGCGGCCGTGTGCGTGAAAGCTAGAAAGCAAAAGCTCAGAAGTGCTTTTAATAGGCAGATTGATTTGTTCCAGTACTAGAGCTGCTTACCACATGAATCACCCTCCATCCACCTCGCTCCCTTCATGCCCCAGCAAGCACAAACAAGGGAGCAGAAGAATAAATACTTCTTGATCATAGTTTTAGGGTGTTTCTTTGGATCAAAAGAAGAATCTACTGCTGAGGAAGCGGGGAGGGGGAGCTCCTGTGAGGGGGAAGTGGGAAGAGAGATATCTACAATTTTTTTTTTCCCCACGTCCTCCATGTCAGAATTTTTGAATCTCCAGTCTTAAACAGTGCAGGATTATGAAATAAATTATCTAGAGACTCAGATCATTCATTCCATTGTACATCCCCAACAGCTGCTATGAGAAAACAGAAGACAAACACCCAGATCTGAGCTGTAGTGAGCAGCAGGAAAGCGCACGCAACAGATATAAGCAAAATACGCTTTGATTTTTCAGAAGAACTGTCTGAATTACCTGTGTAACATTTATGCAAACAAACAAGAGCTGTACAGCCACGGTGCTGTTGGAGTATGAATACAGCAAAGCGCTGTGAGATGCCTAACCCAAATAGCTCACAGCTGAGTGTGTTTACACAAAGGCGTGACAAGAGTTGCAAATAAATGTTTTAGTATTTCTAGAAAGCATCTATCTACTGAAAGCAAAAATAGCAGAAAATCTTCTTTTACTTATAAAAATAATCAATCTATATTTAGAGTGCTAGCACTCGCTTGCTGTGCGTTTTGTAAGGGGAACAAGCTGTGTTCATTGGCAATAACAACACATTTTCAAAGGGTTCGATTCCTGATCAACCCTCCCGTATCTGACAGCCCTAATGAGGCACGGAGTAACGGGCGTCCTTTGCCGAGCGCTAAGCAGATTGCTAGAGACTTTGAAAGGCTTGAGAGAAACAGGGAGCGTAGCCCAAAGCAAATAAGGAACCAAGATGAAGTGTGTAAAAAGAAAAGGTTTGTAAGACTGGACGGTAGGAGACTGAAGGGATTTAAACATTTCTAAGGGTTATAGAATAATGGGAAGAATCAAGCAGCAGTTTATTCATTATATAGGCAACTACCTAATCTGCAGTGACGATTCAGAAGTTAAAGCCCAGCTTAGGGGAATGTTTTTGATGGACTATTAAACCTGCTGTTTACAAGAAGCCAGAATAATCAGCCCATGAAGCGGGGAGGACACGTAGCCTTCAACAATTTAGGGCTGCGTTGTTTTCACTTGGGGCTTGACCAACTCCCAGTGAAATCACTCAAGGTAGGTTTTGGAGCACCAAAAGGCAGATATTTGCTAACATGGGTGGGTCTCTTTGCCTCTGTATCCTAGCACTTCTTTTTAGGTTTTCCATTGATTTGTGGGAAGTGAAAACAAGAGGCTAAACAGCCCTCGAGAACTCTTATAAACAATACCTAGTGTACAAAAGAATCATAGAATCATAGAATGGTTAGGGTTGGAAGGGACCTTAAAGATCATCTAGTTCCAACCCCCCTGCCATGGGGGGTAGCTACATGGATCTAGAAAGTAGCTACATGGATCTAAAATACAAAACCAACTTCAACAATACATATTCTTGATGCAAAACAGGAGAATAAGATGCAACAGTAAGATTTAGTCCTATTTTCTTTGTAACAGAAAGGAGGTAAGAGTTCATGAATAAGGATATTCCTTCAAGATTTCCACAGCCGTCAGAGATCTAAACACACAGAAGTCACGGACCTGGAGAGTGATGAGAGTCAGTAACTCTGTGACTCACGCCAGTCCAAGAGCCACAAGGTCGCCGCAGAGCAACGCAACGAGCTCTTGCTGTCAGCAGCAATCAGCGAGGTGGGCTGCGTTTCTGCCCACGGATTGGCATCCGTCTTCCCAGGCGACAGTGAAGAGGATTTCATTGTCTCAGCCACCAAGATCCCCAGCATAAAGCCATTTTATTTGGTTCTATACTGAATCCCAGTCTTCCACCCAGGTATATCTTTTGAAATATAGTTACTTTGCCAACTTGAAAAGTCACAGAAAATTACAACAAATCCCAAAGTATATTCAAAAAATGGTCAAAATCATTATTTGTCATCTTATTCCAATTTAATCTATGTTGTTTTTTCTCTTCCTAGACACCTATAGGTTAATTTATCCTATATGATTAATTTATTACCTGTTCTTGTCCTGTTGGCATCCTCAGTCCTGCTGATTAATTTCTGTTATAGGCCCATTATTTCAGTTCTATAAATACCCCATCTCATTTTACTCCTTTCTACAGTTACTTTGCAACCTTCTTTTTCTCCTCCACCTGGGGCTCTCACTTTCAATTTAACATGAGACAGTGGGCAAAGATTGAGCTGAAATCTAGTAATTACACCTCCCTGCCCCGAAAAACGGAATCATTTATTTTTCTTATGGATGGAAGCAGCTGTGAGCTGCTCTGCAATCCCACAAGCAATCCCACAAAAAACAATACTTATTACTTGTCAGATTAATAATAGAAAGCGTTGGCTTCTGCAATTTGAAAAATGTATATAGTTGGATCGCAGTATATTGCAACATTTGCATTTAGGAGGAGTGAAGAGCTGAATCACAACCCAGACTCCAGCATGCTGGGCAGATCCAGTTCCACCTGCAAAAATATTAAATCACCACCCAATTCATCACTGACAAAACAGGTTATATCCACCATCGTTGGCATTCAGTCCATGACTGCCCGCAAAGACTTTCCCAGGTCTTTACGTCCTTGAGTTATGTTTACTACTTTCAGGCCTTACATTTTTCTGACCTTTCAGCCTTGGCCATAAGTTCCTGGGATCCTCTGACACTCTGGGAAAGCTTCTGCATGCTTCTCCGATAAGAGTAAGCACATCCTGAAATAAAAAGGAAACAAAAAAATTACTTCATTTTGTACCAACCATCAGCAGCTACATCCAGTCTCTCAAAAGCAACAGGCAGGCAGCGCCCATCAGCACAACTTTGCTGGATTTTTAAAGCATCCTGTTAAAAACTTTGTGGCCAGTGATGTGCTGCATAAAACAGGTTTCCTCCCTAAAGAGGGGAAGGAAAAAGCAGCCGGCCTTTTCAGGGAAGCTGGGAGAAAAGCAAGAGGAAAAACAGTGACTCCTCAGTTGAGACTCAAGTTCTCAAACCTTAGGTATGGAGGCAGTGGGAGTCAAAAATCAGGAAGCTGGCGTCATTAGGTAAAAAAAAGAACATGTGGTGGAGTGCAGAAACTGCCAGCCTGCTCACAAACATGGTAGGTGGATCTCGGGGCTCCAGAGAGCCCTAAATCACTGCTCAGAAACAGCTCACTTTCAACCTGACTCCCTTTTAAGTGGTGAGAGAAGAGTTCTTCCTTCAGGAAGATCATCCTCTGGAACAGCCAGAGAAGAGCCAAGGAATTCCCCAAGTTTCAGCTTACATTGCCCACCATCTATTCCAGAGATATTCCCCTGCAATGCAGCGACAGCAGACAATGAAGATGGTTCTTACAAGAAATCTCTGTACCTGAGAGGCCTTAGCCTCCATAACATGCTGCTGTGTCCTATTCAGAGACTCCTACGCCAAAGGATGAGTAAGGAAGGCTGGTATGGGCACAGTTACCTACTACCACATCATTTAGTTGTTTACCATTTTGTCTTAGACAGCCAATGAGAAAACAAACTGTGGAGAAATAAGCAAGATGTACCCAAAACAATTCTAGGCTGTCCTGGGAAAGACCTTCGTCTTGTACAAACCAGGCAAGCTCAAATGACTTGATCAATATGTTGGTGGCAGCATTTTATTAATTATACGGAGCCAAGTTCTGTTTTGGCTTGCGCTGCATGCAGGTCAGCCTGATCTCACTGCCATAAATCAGGGGCAAACCTGGCTTACAGATCCCTTAGTTACAGTATGCATAAAATGTACCGCAACATTTTTGGTTTTTAACAATGTTTGCTTACTCTGGGGTAAATCTGTTCTTCCAATCTCTCTTCTATTAAATCACCTTCCATGAGAATCTTCTTTCATCTGAGAAAGGCAGTCTTGGCTAGCTCTGCTTTCTTCTTCTGACAGTCAGGGCACACTGAAGATTCGTGGATTTGAGCTCCTGTCACCTGAAAGACGAGCCTTTGATGCAATGAGCCATGTCTCTCCTAGCCAGATGGCCACTCCGTTAAGAACAATCAATAAAAATACAGATAGAGACACTTTCTAAAGACAAAAATGTGCTTTTGTAGGCAGTTGTAAATGATTTCATAACCTTCGTCACAGTATCATCTTCATGAGCCTGTCTGAATACACACCAAACATATTTCCTTTTCCCCAGGTATTACGTCTCCCAGCACCAATAACTTAGTTGCATTTAAAATTACCCACTTCCGTCTCAGAACGGATCTGTAATACACTATTTCTTCTTGTAATAAAGTTTCCCTGATGCTCGAGGTTGCACAGACATTACTGACTTCTTCCACAGGAACGATAACGGGCAAAAAATTGAAATCCTGTGATTGCCAAGCAACACATCTGTGACCAGCCGAAACCAACTGCGAGGATACAGTTCTACTGGCCAAAAGATTGGTTTAATTAGTATGTGTGTATATATATCTATAGTATATACTTATGGTTCTGTCTGTATTTGACTCTGGGTGGACACTGAGTACAAATCACAACTTTGCAATGTAAATCTATACGCTCTTTGCTGTGTTAAGTATGCTCAGAGCACCACCAGCCGTTAGTTACTCTGGCTTAACGAGGACCTGATGTTCCAGGAAGCCAGCCTGTGCATGCTAACCAGTCTTCCGCAACAGCAAATACACTACTTCCTGAAGGCTCAATTAGGTTAAATTAACATGTTTTACACCACGTTTCAAATATCTGATCACCACAGCTCACTAACAGCAACCGTTAATCAGCAATAATTCCACCACATCTAACTGCCTGTCGATAAGGAGGCTGCAAGAACAGCAGTGCTCCTGTGTGGATGGAATACACAGGGTGTTACACCAACCACAGAGATTATGATTATCTTTACAAATTCTAAGATGTAAAGAAACTCTGAAGCAATTAGTTCAAATATCTCTATGCAGCTGAGCCAGAACACAAACAAAATGCTAGTTGACTTTGTTGGATAAACAGTACTACTTATTAATTCCTGTTAGTTTATCCACCATGAAATCTTAAGCGTTTTTAATAGCATTACACAAATCCCCGTATTTGTGCATTTATGAAATGCCCATAATTTTATCTGATTCAATTTACACAGATTCCATCTGGTTACATAAATGTTTCAAGTTGCTACAAAAGCAGTGGAATCAATCCTAGAAAGTCATGTCTCTAGCATCTCTTGTCATCTTCCTTGATTTCTCTCCCTCTGCATCCAAATGTTCCACGTGGAGGTAAAGGCAGAAGCACAAAGCCATAGGAATCAAGCTACTTTTCTTAAAAAATGTATTACCACACTGTAAGACAAATAAAGAGGCAGTAAAAATTGCACAAAATTTGGACGGTGGGCTGGTTAACACTATTGTAATAAAAGAATGGAGAAGGGTGACATTTCAAAACAATTTAAAGCCTGAATTAATCATCACGCCAGAACTGAATTTAAAAGTACTACTCCCTCCTCACCCGGCAGAGGCTTCACAGAGGAGTATGTTATCACTTTTGCTGTGCTGTATGGCAAGAAATTACAGCCAGCAAATGTGACTGAGGTAAAACAAAAATAAATGACTAATTACTGTTCAAAGCTCATTCTTTGTTTTATCAGAAATGCCTTCCCAGATGCAGACATTCGGTACCAATTCCAAAGTACAGATGTTTGCCAAGGCCCAGATTTACAGGTAAAGGCATCTGTGGGTCACTACTCAAATCCACGTAACGACATTTGCAGATCCATCTGCATGCATGAAACAAGAATGCAAGTAGCATTGGCCCCAAAAAATACCAGTCTTGAGACTTAGATGCAGAGCTGAATGGAGGAGCTGTGTCAGAATGCCTATGGTGGGAAAAACCACTGGGCTGTTGAAAAAGAAAAGCACTTTGAACTGTGGAAAGATGATGCAGAAGCTTATTAACAAAGGAACTGATGTAACCAAGATTCTATCGAACATGCGTTAATTCTTAATATTATCTAATGTCTAAGCATGCTGGGAGCAGGGAGGCTTTGCCTTTGGAATACTTACAATACTGGAGACAAAGACTCCACAATCAAACAAAATCCAAAAAACCTCCAAATCAAATCAAATGCCCCATCCCTGGGAGTGTCCAAGGCCAGGCTGGATGAGGCTTGGAGCAACCTGGGCTATGGAAGGTGTCCCTGCCCATGGCAGGGGGTGGGACTGGGTGGGCTTTGAGGCCCCTTCCCACCCAAACTGCTCTGTGATTCTATGAATATGCAGAATGCTTCTATAAATAACAGGTGCAAACATAACCAGAAAACAAGGCTTTTTCTTCAGCTGATCCAGGACTTGCTGTGGAATGCAGTAACTGCCCATCCCAGCCTCGCTCAATCACACAAATCATTATTTTATCACCGGATAATATTTTATGATGTTTTGATTATTTACTGGCCACAGTTCTGCCTGACAAAAAGATAAGAAAGAGAACTCTTGAGATGTCAAGCAAGACTCTTTGAGGCCGGAGTGTGGCATCAATAGGTTCGGCCTGATTTGATCCTTGCATTCTGGCTTAGTTTTCCAGTGCTTCTCTCAAAGCATAGGCAAAAACCTAGATTTTTTCTGCCTTGAGTACCTGTTTCACAGTCTCCCTGATGTTTTCCAGGCAGATTCTGTTCATTAGCAGGTCAGGAACAACGCAGTTTGAGTCCAGTTTCTTTGCTGTGATTCCGTGCTGCAGTTTTCTTGACTTGCCACCGTTTGCCTGCTCGGAGATCAGCTGCTGACGCATCTGGCTTATCTTCATGGTGCAAAAAGACCAGAGAGCATTCGGTTTGCCAGCTAATAAATCAGTAATTTCTGCAAAGCATAAATCAACAAAAGTGTCAATTACCGT